TCCAGTGAAAAAAACAGCGTCGTCTCGTTCTCGATTCAGAGAAGTGAGGAAAGTGCCCAAAAATGATGTGAACACGTTTGGCTACGAAACGCATGCAACATTAGACTATGCAATGTTATTGTTATTCCATATTCGAAGATGATGTCAGACAACTGTCATAGCTCAATTCAAATCTCAACACTCAGTCTTCAACTTCTATGATTTTAATGTGAAGAAGAAATGAAACACATTTTAATTAAAACCACTGCGAAACAGCAATTGGACGCTGTTGTTGCCACCATCATCCAAGAGGCAATGCAGCTTGAAGCTAGAATGACCCATTGTTTGGATGACCCTGCGACTGTCAGAAGTAAGTAGCTGCATCTCCGAGTACTTTGTCATGAAGTAGTTGATCCATTTCCTCAATATCAATCTCAACGCACAGCTGCAATACGGTGGATAAAAAGCAAGAAGTGTGATGTCTTTTGATCAATTTGCGGTGAATTTAATGGCTTTGAAGCACTATGCACAACGAGTAAGGGCAAAACGGAGGAATGGTTTATTTTCGTACCAATATTGAAGAGTACTCTCTCGTTGGCTGCTAGGCTAGCTGTGAATCTGAGTCGTGGACTTTGGCACTGCAGTAATGAGCAGAAGATCAATCTTTCTACAAATTTATGGCAGAGTGATTATCTTTCAGCAGTATAGCAAAGCACTGTATATTCGAATAACCCAGCGGTAGCTAATATGCTAATTTTGAAAAATAGTGATCATCAAAATTTCCGTTTGAAAACCAATGCACGGTTATGTTTGAGCAAAATTATTAAACAACCCCGTCGTTCAGTACAGATAAATGTGAAAAGATCTACACTAATTTAGTAACAAACAAAATTGTAACAACCGATCGACTGTAAAAATAAACATCAAATGCTAAAGAAGCGAAATATTAATTGAATTCAGGTTTTCATTCCGTTGTGAAACATCGAACTCCAATCGATTATTGAATCTTTAGATGAGGTGGTCTGTATATGCGGTTTCCCAGAATGATTCAAAGCATCAGCCGAGCACTTCTGATTTCGTGCTATGCAAATGGAAATTCTCAACCGATTTTTTATCTTTTGATACTTGCTTGATAATCGTCAATTCATTCATCAAGTCGTGCCTTTGTCATGCTGTTTTCAAAAAATATTGCCATGAAACTTACCTTATCACAAGATTGGCTGATGGTGCCTTTTTCGTGATGGAATAAATATGACATACTGAACTGAAGGTATCAATCAATTCCATGTGTATTCCAAGCGGATCCAATATATACACAAA